CACTACTGCCGGGACCCCCTGCACGGGAAGAAGTATGTGCAGAAGGAGGGCAGGCACTGCTGCGTCAAGTGCTTCGAGAAGTTCTGTGCCAACACCTGCACCGAGTGCAAGAAACCCATTGGAGCTGACTCCAAGGTGAGTGCTGATGGATGATGAGAACAGGCAGATGCTGATGAACCCTCCTGCTTGTCTTGCTGGCTCTGGTCTGTTTGTGAGCTACCGTGTGAAAACAAGTTCTTTGTGGGTCCTGTGGCTGGTGGGCCATGTGCTCCTTGGGCAAAGAGCCAGTGACACTGGGATGTGCAGAGGGATGCTCATGGTGGGCTGCTGTGGCACAGGAGCCATTTTCAAGTTCTAGATTCAGCAACATGGACTGCTGCAAATGCTGAGTTGCCCTGAAGAGAGAACTGCAGGCAACCCAGCCTGCACAGGACCTACAAAAACTAATCTGGGCAAAGCACTGGGGAACTCAGGGTCTGATGCTGTCAGTTTGTCAGATGTTTATTACTTCATGTTTATGGCAGTAATAATGTACAGCTGGACTAGAGGGAGTGTGACAACCTGAGAAGCACACACTTGCAGAACTTCAAATCTCAGAGCTGTTGGTTTGAAGCAACCTCTGCCACCCTCAAAAGTGATTGCAATTGTGTCAGTGAGTCTGGTTAAATGTCCTTCCCTTGACTGCTTGCAGAGGAGCTGCAGCTCCACCCACAGAATCAGACAGTGCTTAGGAACAAGGAATCTATCCTTGACTGCCCAGGCTGATGAGCCAGATGCTTGGCTTTAGGGCTGCTCAGTGACAGAGAAAAGCTTATCTCTCCCTTTCTGTTTGTTCCAGGAGCTGCATTTCAAGAACCGTTACTGGCACGATAATTGCTTCCGCTGCTTCAAGTGCTACACGTCCCTGGTCAACGAGCCCTTCATGCTCCGGGAGAACAACAAGGTCTGGTGCAGCAACTGCACTGCTACTGAGGATGCACCCAGGTGTAAGGGCTGCTTTAAGCCCATTATTGCAGGTACTGGTGCCAGTGAGAGGGGTACAAGGGCCACATTCTGCTCCAGGGCATAACCAGGGGGGTTTATCAAGCTGTGAGGCTGCAGTTATGGGTATGGGCATCACAGTGGAAGACAGAATCACAAAATAGTGTAAGTTTTGACTGTTGCTCTCACCTGTCCATTTTATTCAAGTACTGAAAGGCTTCTTTGCAGTTAACCCTCATGTGATAATTAATAGTTAGTTTTAAACCATTTCTACCAAAAGCTTTGCTCTCTAAATCAAGCTATTCAGAGGCTCAGGCACCTGGTCTGACAAATATTTTAAGAAAATCTAGCAGCCTCTGGCTAAAATCAGATACAGAAATTAACAGCTTGTCTCTTGTCTACATTCCAACTGAATCGTGAGTGTAAGTATGGACAGTTCTTGCCCATAGATAAGTTACACTGCACAGGGTGAGGGTTTGCCACAGGCCCGAAATCCCACATAACAAGTTATTTCTATCTGTTGCAGGAGACCAAAATGTGGAGTACAAGAAGATGGTCTGGCATAAGGATTGCTTCACCTGCAGCCAGTGCAGGCAAGTGATTGGATCCGGGAGCTTCTTCCCCAAGGGTGATGAATTCTACTGTGTCTCCTGCCATGAGCACAAGTTTGCCAAGACCTGCGCTAAATGCAAGAACGTAAGTCCTTCCCCTTTGCAAAGGCAGCTGCCAGAACCAGCTCTTGTGTGTCTTTTGGAAGCTGGGAGAGTAAACCAGAGACAGACCATGCTGAAGCTATACCAAGGCTTATGTTCTGTCCTTGAGATACTGGTGCCAGCAGCTGGTGGAATAACAGAAGAGCTGATGGTTCCTGTACATTATGGGATCTGGGCAGGGTCTGTCGGGTTATCTGACAGCACCAGTGCAGAAACTAAGAGGGCACCAGTCTTGCACTTGCTTTGGGGATAATTTAAGCTCTCTAGTAGGTCCTGTGTATTCAAGAAGTGAATGTTTTACAACTTTTGCAACTGGTCAGTGTAGAATTGCAGTTACTGCAGGTAAAAGAAACTATTGTGAAAGTGTGCAGGTACACAGGACTTCAGGCTAGAGAAACTCAAGTGAGCTGCACCATTTAATTGTGATGCAAACTTCAGAGTTCCTCTCCATGACAAAGCCTTCCTTCCCTCCACCCCGTGTCTGTGTCACCTCTCTTTTTCCCTACTGCTTCTAAACCACACCTCTGCTCTTTGCCTTCCAGCCCATCACTTCTGGAGGCCTCACTTACCAGGAAAAGCCCTGGCATTCCGAGTGTTTCATTTGCTCCAACTGCAAGAAGCCACTGGGCGGGAAGCGCTTCACACCTGTGGAGGATGACTTTTACTGTGTTGAATGCTACAAGGAGTGCGTGGCCAAGAAGTGTGCTGGCTGCAAGAATCCTATTACAGGTATGTTGGGTTAAATGCAGCTCGAGGGCAGTGGGTACTTAAGGTCAGAACAGTGATCCCCAAAAGCCACGGAGCCCAGAGGCGGGTAACATCAGAGCAGGTCTAGTAACCCAAGCTCAACCCCAGCAATTTACAAGTGATCTGACTCCAAGACACGTGTTCTTGCTGGATGGAGTTCGAGCCAGTAACTGAGCTCTTCACCCTTTGCATGCCTCAAATTTACCTCCTTCAAAACTCCCCCAGCTACAAGTGTTCCCACCTGTATCCTAGTTTGGGACCCTTAAGTCTAAAACATTTTACTGTCCCAAAGTGACATTTGCTTCGCTTCTGATGTATTTTACATTTAACAGTTACTGGATTACAGAGCTCAGCCCTGAAATGTGGGCACTGTCCTGCCAGTCCCATGAGACTCATATTCCATTCTGCATTTTAGAGCCAGAATCTGAGACCATAAGTCCTTTCCTTGCTCTACATCTCTCCTTCACCTTGACTGCTTCTTGGAGCAAGGATCCAAGGGAAAAAGCTTATTGCAGAGACAAGCCATGCAAGTCTTATGCTAAGCTACCTGTTTCTACAAGAAACATCAAAAGATGCATCAAAAAACGTGCTTCATTTGCTACTTTGACTAGTATTTGAGGCACACACTGTGGCCTGCTAGCCTAGAGAAGCACAGAAGGGAGTAAGAAGGGGATCTGCTGCTTGGTGGGTTGACCCAGCCAAGGCAAAGCTACTATCGCCGTCCTATAATTGTGTTCTCTCCTAGCAGGATTTGGAAGAGGAACCAGTGTGGTTAACTACGAGGATGAATCCTGGCACGATTATTGTTTCAAATGCACAAAGTGTGCCCGTGGTCTGGCCAACAAGCGCTTTGTTTGCCATAATGGAAAAATTTACTGTGCTGAGTGTCCCAAACGACTGTAATGAGCAGACAGCAAGTGCTGTAAGATGGATTTTAAAGCCCTGCTTTCCCAAACAGTCCTGGTAAAGGAGCAGGTTTTTGCATGTTGAGAATTTTATCTGTTTCCATTTTAGTATAAGAACTAAATTAGCCTCAATATACTGGGTTTGACTTTTGAAGTTCCTGCAGTACAAGAGCATGTAGCCTTGCAGAAATCTAACCCTGTTTCTAAGTAACTCTTAGTGTAAAGGCTTGAAATGCTGTTGTTAGATTTAGCATTAGAGATCCACACGCTCCATCATCTGTGTGTGGCTTAACTAAAACAAATCTAGTTTTAAACTTGTCTGGTATATGTTTAAGCTTGGCACAAGTGAAGTGGGTTTGACAAGGCATGAACCTGGGATACAGAGATGCAAAGATTGCACCTGGGATCAGAGGGATTCATTATTATGCTTTAAGAAGTACAGGTACACAACATGCACTACACCATTAATAAATAATCATTAAATACCTTAGCTTACCCTACCACACCAAATTGCAGCACACGTACGGAATGGCTTCATCTTACTTATAACAATGTTTTGGCAGTGCAATTTAGCTTGGTTAAGGTTCCATAAACTTGTTTTAGTCTTGATTTCCGCATGGTTTGTCCAAAAGTTTTGCTCATCAGCTTTTTTTATATCATTGTTTAAACAAGGCTGTCTATGTGCAATTATTAATCCATTAACAAGTAGTAAATCTTTCACCTAAAACATGCACATGCATTTACAAGTGCCTTAAAAATAGCTCAGACAACGATAGCTCTCCTATCCTATCAGTGTATGTTTTGTGATTGAATAAAAGTAAGACTAGTGACTGCTTGGAGTCCTACAGTCTGGAAAAGTTTTTTCTTTTTCATTTTGCCATCTTACATGATTGACACATCTTAAGGCTGAGCTACTGAAACCAAGTCTCATACACTGATACTGGCAAAGTAAAGAGTCAGCTGTGCTGTCACTGCACCCTTAAATATCTGAGGACCAAAGCAACAATTTCCATAAACTAATTAATTTTTTTAATATATTACTGACACCAGACCATCTGCCAGGAACAGCCTGTGTGAAAAAGCCCTTTGGAGAACATATGTACAGCCACTGCTCGTGCACAGATCCACAACCCTTCAGCAACCTTAATGCTGGTTTAAGGTTGGTGGGGGTTTTTTTCCACAGTGCTGAAATACAGAAATATTTTATCAATTGGATGCTGCTCCAGCCATTCCTTTTCACCTACCAACAAAGAACCCTTGCCTTGCAAAAAAAAAGAAAAGGCAGCATCTTGCTGTATTCTTGCTGGGCACTGCCCCACTGTGGCCACAGAGCACTGCTGGACTCACCCTTCAAACACAGAGATGCTGGTGCTGCAAGGGAAAAGCAAAGGCTGACAGGGAAAAGCAGGTTAAAGAATTCAAGAGTTATGAACACGCCATCATATATATGAGCATGTACAAACACAACAAGAGCTGAAGGTGTTAGTGCAAATACCCTCCCACCCACACAGATGCAACTGCCAAAGAGGCCTCTAGTTTGGGAATGTGCAGTTGGGAGAAGTTAGAGCAGCACCAGGGTGCATCTCAAGGCAGGTCAGCAGGGCAAGGGGTTGGAGAGGCCTAGTAAGGTCATGTTTAGCATTACAAAATAAAGCATTGTTCAACTGCAAAGTTTATTTAACAGTGCACACATATTTACACAGAGCTGTATCAGACCATTCAACAAATATCAGCACAGAAGAAAATACTGGCATCTTTGTTAGAATGATTGTCTCTGCCAGAATGAAACAGCTATCATACAAAAATACAGTTTTCCTTTTACCTAAGGCACTGCTCTAAAAGTCTAAAACAGTTCTATGGCATTTCTGAACAGCAAGAGGGAGAGGGCTGAGGGCTTCTTTTGCAACTGTGGTGTTGAGGAAAGAACACGTGTAGTTCCAGCAAAACCATTTGCATTTACCCACTGCAAACAGCTGCCATTTGGATGAATCGCTGGAATTGGAGGATCAGCCAGTGGTTTGTAGCAAGATTTGAGACAGCTATTCTTTAAAGTAACCACCTATCCAGTCTATCTTTACAGGAGACATCAGAACAAGGCTGCATTATTACTTTTAGTAGCAATTTTCAGAAGATGCTTCGTTAATCTCTTCATGCTGTAAAAAGCAGGCAAGTTCAGGTTAAATAGATTATTTAATGCAGGCTTTAGGGGAGGGAAAATATATATGCAACTTGCAGCCATTGTTACAAAGCTGGAACTGATACACTTAGAATAATGAACATGAACAAAACATGACTTCAATGGTCTAATACTGTTATGTACACAATAAAATAATACTTCCATAAGTGTAGATAAATAAGTAAATCAAAAGGAAAACATTTTTTAAAAGCATGACACATTAAACTGCACTGACAGACATATCTAGAGACTTGACATTTTTGCAATATATTAGTGCACATGCTGTAAAATGTTTTGATGTTTGCCGATAGATTAAAACGTATTAGTGATGGTACAACACCAGATTTTGAAACTGTCAAAATTTTCACATTAGACAAGGAATTTTTCTTCTCCATTCAAAACTGAAGATAGTCAATTCTGCATTTTTAAATAGCACATGAACTAACAAGCAACAACATTTTTCTAGACATTACAAAGGGAGTTCAGCTTTAACACACACTGAATGAGTCTTTTATTTAATCAAGGGCCATTTTAGAAATATGCAAAGTCTGCAGCTAAGAGGGGAGCCTCCAGTAGCCTTCTGCTGTACATGATACTGATATGGAAATAAAAAAACCAAAAGACTCAAACAGGTTACTGTAAAGTCTGTAAAAGGGAAACAAGGGATATTTGAACTAGGAAACCTTATGTAACAATAAGCTAAACGAATGGAAAAAGAACATCAGCAAAACAGTTTCCCTGAAATGTTTCAAGGTGCAAATTAGAACTCTTTCATCCCTCCCCTGGTGTTTTTTGCAAAGTTGAAGATGGATAAAGGTAAACAAGCAGCTTTTCAAAACAAGGCCTTCGGTACTTGAGAAAATACTGGATTACTGAAGTGCAATCAGATTATTTCCAGGTCTCTAGTGTTCACAGTTCTGTCCAAAGAGCAAAGAGAAGAAAACATGTAACCATCATAACTGTGTGTATGCCACATGCATCCATCATCACTGTCAGAGTCTACATCCAGGAGTGAGCACAGAACCACTTAGACACTTATGGTCCAAAACCAGCAGAGTAGGGTTTTCTTTCTTTTTACAGGAATGTTAGTTTTCAAAGTTATGTACAGCATTCTTAAACCATATTAAGTCTAAACATTTTCAAGGTCAAAATTAGAAGGCAACACTTTCTTTGCTAAAAAGTTAATGATTTTGCTCACAACAAAATGTGATCAGCAGAATCCCATTAAATCTGTCTATTCCCATGGCCCAGTTAGTCTTGGCCATGAGAGAGGCCTCGATCAGGTTGTGCCCACGGGACTAAAATTCACAAGACGCAGAGTGACAGAGGAGACTCAGGAAACAGTTCAGTCTAGAAAAGTGCTACACTTTAATCAAACAAAGTGCTACACATCACTGAAAGAAAATGTGGATAGCAAGGCTCATTTCTTCCACTACCATTCATTTCACTGATCACACAGTCATTTATCTCATGGAAAGAGATCTCCTGCTGTGAATATGACCATTTGGGGTTTAGCTCCAACACCAGGGAATTCTAGTCTACGTTACATAACTACCTTCCTGAAGCCTCTCTGACACACTAGGATGTACTGCATGAAGGTTTGCCTTCCCAAGTACATGTGGCTTGAGATGCAGCCCTGCTTCTTTCAGGAAATTCAGAGAATTTCCTGTGTGTACAGCTTTATTACTCCTCTCAAAATGTAACACAACTGTCTGTGGAACTTCAGGTTGGTGCTACCTGCCTCAGTGAAGTGAAACACTATTCTACAGCTAATACCTTGCTAGAGAGTTTGAGGACACCTTGTAAGACCACGCAGGTCAGCATCAAAAAGTTACAGAACATGCCTAGGAGTGGAAAGGTCTTGCCTGTAGAGTTACATCAGACATCTTTTAAACTGTTAGTATCTTCAAAAGTAACATGTGCCATTTAAGATATCTCAGAAGAAGCTTAAAGTACAACAGATGAGCTTCAGTGCTGGTAGGAGATACTGGAGCTTCACAAGGGCTCAGTTGCGTCTTTGGAAGAGCCTTAATGTTGGGCCTTAGCAAGTCCCTAAAAAGGCATTGATTGGTGACTCCTTTTGACAGAATTCAAGTTACCAGCACTAAAGAAAGAGCTTTCCCTCTGGTCTACACATTGGAAAAAGTGCCTTGAAAATAAGAAGCTGTAGTTAAGGCAAAGAGAGCAAAATGCAAGGAAGTTAATTGCCTAGGCAGAGGAAGAGACAGAGAGGGAAGTCAGCTTGGATTACCTGATGAAGCATCTATAGGTTTGGTCAATGAATTCACTGCACCATCTTCCTCAAAAGCCAATTTGGGACTAGGAGGTATTGTAGCAGCATCATTCAAGTTTTGATTACAGTTACCAGCAGAGATGCTGTCCGAGCTCAGTTTAGTTGACTTGGAATGTACTCCAACGTCAATGAACTCCTCAAAAGTCCATGAACCAGATTTTCCATTAAGATTCTGAATAAGTCCAATTGTATGATCAGCTTCATTAACACCCGATTTCACTGAGTCATCGATAACCACTTCTTTTGCAGGATGGCTAGGAAAAAAAAAAGGACACTTGTATTACAATTTCTGCACATTTAACCTTTAGATTTATTCCAGGCCAAACAATTAGCAGACTGAAAACTCTGCAAAGCACTGAATGTCCTGAAGGGCATTTCCAGACAAGCTCTTCCAGCTGCCACACGGGATGTCCCCTCCAAGAGCCAATGGGGAAGAACAACTCACCAACACATACCAACTTTTTACTGTACTAACAGCTCTCAGGTAAGGTCTGGCTGCAGAAATTTGATATAAGAAAGCAACAAGTTTAAAGCCCTGAACCATTAAATCCCAATTTTAGTAGTGTGCATTTCTCCTTTTTTTCCTCCAGCTGTGACTTTTCAGGCACAAAACTAAGCCTCAGAAGACCAGAAATATTTAAAAGATTCAAAATCTAAACCCAAATCATTGATCAATTTTCATTCATTCTTTGAAGAATCACGAAAATGTCTTTATACTCCATCACTGGAGGAATGAGATTAATTTATTGTCACTTTAAAAAAGCGTTCACAATGTCATTTCTAAATCATTAGCATTTAGATGAGCAAATGGAACAAGCATCAGAGGACAGATTTTCCAGTAGCTGATAGAAATGCTTTATATTCGAAAAGATAAAATCTGAAATACCACAAAAACCATTCCCCACCAAGGGAGGCTTTTGTGTTCTATCTGGTGTTTCAGCATAACGTTGTTCTAGAGCTTTCCTGTAGGTTATTCTTCCTTTTCAGTGTTATCTCCCCTCCCTCTTGTTTAATGTTTTGTTAATGAGAAGAACTGCAAGCCATTTCAAGGGAGAAGATTTCAAGCCAATGCCACTCTTTATAAGTAACACTGCCATGTTGTAACACTGGCTGTGTCTCACTTCTCAGCAAAGCCAGTACTGTTAGCATGGTGCCAACTAAACAAACAATTATCCTGAGCTAACTGTTCTGTGTGAGGCACTGAACTGACAGCACACACACACCACATGTCTGGAGCAAGGCACAGACACACCACAAAGCCAGCGGGGTGCAAGATTTGAGGCAAAGTTGCAGACAGCACTAAATTTATTTTAAATGTAGAGAGAGATTTTTTTGTGTGAGGGATAACTGTTCTGACAGTAAAGCAGCTACCTACACAAACTCACCTGGAATCCTTTAGTTCACTAACAGACAGAGACCCCTCATCACTTTTCAAGTCGCTTCCATTCATGAACACTTCACTGGCCTTCAACTCTGACTCATCTTGTTCCTCAGATTCTGCAGAGATCAAGCTTTGTGCAGTCTCTAAACAACCCTCTGCTTCCCCCTTGACTTCCTGGAGCAAGTCAATGCCATTTAGCTTTCCTGAAAATGGGGGAAAAACAAGAAATAAATTAAAAAGGAGAGCTTCAGTAACAGAATGGTTAGAATACGAGTGTCAAAATGACCTTTCCTAGCTAAAACTCAGGGCACTGGGCTTCAATCAGTTCATTTCTCTTAGATAAGCTGCCCATAACAACATGAAACTCATTTTTCATCTTTAAAAATCCACTTGTAAAATGAAAGTTGCCTCCATTTCATTCTCAAATCATTTTGACTGTTTCTCTGTCCAAGCAGAGTCTCCCTGGCATTTCTGGGACTGGTGTCTCAGATCACCACAGTGCTGTTATGTGAGTGACCTTTTCAACAAAGCTTAAACATCACTGAGAGACTCCCTGCTACTCAGATCTGACTCATCCACAGTTTCCTTACCTGGTTGATCAGTCTTCTCAAGACCCAACTCTTCCTCCTCTTCAATATCCTCTCCCTCCATCACCTCTGAGGCAGATTTCCCTTCATTCTGCAACTGAATTGCCAGAGTGTTACTTGGAATAGCTCCCTACCCTCCAGCATTTCACAAATGGCTCAATCACAGTTCCCACACAGGACAATTCTGTGACCAGCAGTGAGGCCACACAAGTCCAAAGGCTCACAGACAACCAGCTCACCCAGCAATATATGTTCTACTGAGTCAGAGCCTGTGGGACCCACTTCCACCTCCTACCTATTATTCCTGAGTTCCTTTTCCCCTCATTTCTCCAACGTGTGTGCTAAATTTTTATTGATTTTCAGCTATATGAAGACTTAGATCTTTGAATATTCAGACAGGAACAACTATTCCCCAATAAGCACAACTGACCACAAACCTCACTGCATTAACAAAAATACATCCAGCAATCCAAGGGGCATCCAAGATTTGCTTTAAGCAAACAGATGATGCCAGGAATGTAAACTTTCTACGGAAAAACAATGCTGGCAGAATATATACAATCAAAAAAAAAAGCCCTACTAACCAGTGGGGGTTTTTTAAACCAATCTGCAAGTGATAATAACAGATCACATTGCAGGCCTTGAACAAAAATACATCCAAGACTTTTTGTCAGAACAAGCAGAGCAGAAGAGTGTGTGCAATGGGAAGCTATTGGAAATTATTCTGGTGCACCAGAACTTTGTACTCTACACAGAAGCCAGACTGTGTAAGGATAACAGAGAAAGACAGGATACAAGGCAAAGCCTTCTCAAGGAAAGGCCTATTCTGTTATTGTACAGATCCAAACAAAAAAGTACCTTGGATTCGCTTTGATCCGATTTTCGTGTTCTTTTCATTATTTCTTCAATTCTCTGTTAAAACACGGAAAATATTTGCAGAGCTTTATATTTCAGCATTCTGGTTTAAATTTTCAATCATATTTTCATATTTCATTAATTTAATACTTTATTCACTGTTTTTTAAGCCCAGAAGCCAGAGTTTGCTTTTTTTAAAATAAACACACTACTTCTATTTAAATGCATCAGAAACTGTTTGTCTGTTCAGTTTAACATCCCAACCACTATTTTAGGCTGAGAATTCAAAACAGTCTACCTTTTTTCTTTCAAGCCTTTCCTGCATATTTTGCTGCATAATTCTCTCTCTTTCCAGTCGCTGTCTTTCAGCCTCTTCTTGAGCTTTTGCTTCAGCTTCTTCTCTCTGAAAATAAAACAAAAAGAAGAGAGCACCCAGTGCACAGGTCAATCCCAAGAGTCAAAAGCAGAGCTGTTACAGAGATTCTGGTTCAACACAGACAGGCACATCAGACAATCACTATTTAATATGACCACACATTGTAGCTAAATGCCATTACCCAGCTACTGACATGAAATATATACTACCATGACATTCAGAAACTGAACGTCAACTATATTGATATAATGCAAATGTTCTGAATGTTGAGCTACTCAGAGCTCAAACTATATTTCAGGACGAACATTTGTCTAAGAAGGATAATTTATAAAGTAAAAAGACAGCAATTAAATTCTGAATGTGTCAAGATTAACTCAAAAATCTTGGCAGTCAGGTATTGCTACCAAGACACTTGGTGCAGAACATCTTCTGTTCCTTTTACACTGTAAAATCTTTTCCAGTATGACTGGAAGGAAGATAGAAACATAGTTAACACTCTGAATAATTGTCATAAACTTAAATAAGCTTATAGAGAAATGTTCAGACACATTGCAATGCTATCCATAAGATACAGCACTTTAAACACAAAATTTCATTGTAAAACTGCCTTAGCTTTCAGAATTAATCTAATTTAAGGAAAGTCCACTTTTTGCAGAACAGCTCCCTTCAGCTCAAAGGATGCCTTTGTAATGGTACATGGATACTTGCTGTGGAAGACTATTTAGCAACAGGAAAAGCAGACTTGGAAACACTACCAATCTTTCTTTCAAAGGAATCAGAGCAAGCCAGATGACTTTCCAGACAGACCACCTCCTTGTAACTCATAGCAGTAAGCTGGTAAAGTGGGCTCGGTACAGATATTTTATGTATGCAAAATGATGCCTCCTTGACAGCCAAAAAAAATTTCCAGAATAGCTGCTTCTGCCCACACTTGAATTTACCAAACGCTGGGGAAAAAAATTTTAAAAAATCACACAGACCAGGGGAAGGAAAGAACCTGCAGACACTCTCAAATCCATCTCAGATAGGATGAACTCTGCTTTACGTCATTCCTGACAGAGACCTGTCAAAACCGTTACGTGAAAGAAACAAAAACAGCCCTCTGGAAAACACGGTGGCAGCTTGTACCAGGAACACAGTTGGAGCCCACAGACCTGGTGCTGAAGCTCTGCGAGTTTTTCCTGCTCTTCCTGTTCCCGCCGGATCCTCTCCTCCTCAGCCTGTCTTTGCTGTTCTTCATAGAACAGCCTCTTCTCTTCCTCCTGCTTCCGGAGCTCCTCTTCCCGTCGTGCTTTTTCCTCAGTTGCTCTCTTGGCCATCTCTTCCTCTCTGATTCTGGTGTTTCCAAGATACAGGTTACTGACTGGGTATTTATTTCTTTAAAAGTGTGCATGCACGTGAGACAGAGCAGGAAAGCATGGAAGTTCTAAATAATCCAGTCACAAAATTACTGCATAAAGGCACTTTCTGGTGGGGATTTGTCACCATCCAGACTAGTCAAAGGAAAAATCAGAATAATTTGGAAGAAACTATCTGTGAGTATATGTTACTTGCTGATTAAGTCAAGGCCAAGGCAGGTTGTTCCAATAACGGAATGTTTGATTGAGAATGGGATTAAGCGACAACCATTTAATAAACACCATCTGCAACCATAACATGAATGAAGATTTTAATCACTGTCAAACATAAATTTAGTGGGATTTCCTAAAAAACTCTTTCTTCTATAGCCTGAATTCCAGAGGTACACTGCCAGCTCATGCAGACACACACAGCAGATCTGATGACATATTTCTGATAAAACACCTAAACCAGATTATATTAAAGTTTCTGACAGCTTTACATCCATGACCAGAAAACAGATAAAATCTGATATTCCACCATGTTCACAGAAGCACAGACAGGTGACCCCTGACCTGGAATAAAGTTATTCAGCACTGACTTAGCAATTTATTTTTAACAACTGCTATGTGGTGAACCAAATGCACACTGATCTAACACTTTGAATTACTTGCCTGCCACATTACTGATCTAGATTTCAGATCACTAACGTGAGATTTAATGTACCATCAGACCACTGCCTGAGCTCATCAAAGGAAAAATTTAATACAGAGAGGTTTGACTATTTCAAACCAAATACAAACAAACCAAACACAAGTGATGTAAAAAGCACATTCTGGTTTTGAATTAAAAGCCCCACTGGTGACTGTAAGGAAAAAGAAGCAGCGATTTCACATGGACTATGCATTATATATATACTGAGATATAAACTGATGTTACACACAGCAACCTGTGCCATCTCAAATGTGCTAGTGCCTCCTTGCTTCAGGAACTGCGTTAAGATTTGCAGGAACTTAAATTAAGACTTGGAAAACATATACAGCTGGAATGTCCATTCCAACCACACCCCACCACTGAAAGCATCCCTTCCTTCTCTCAACTGTTACCTTTCTTCTTCTTGTCTCTGAATTCTTTCTTGGTCTTCGCGCTCTCTTTGCTCTCGTGCCAGACGTCGCTTCTCTGCCAAGATTTTAGCAGCTTCTTCAGCTGTGGTGGTCCCTGCTACTGTTTTGCTACCTGATTCTGCAAAGGTTAAAAGAAACTGCCGTTAAAAAGCTCCAGTAACTTAAAATTAAGAAAGATGTTATCACTGTCAGATGAGATCTTTTTCATGCCATCTGATCCACTATCTGTTCGAGCAGTGCTCATCACTCACTGAGTGCACCCTTACCTAAGGGCCTGCCAGAGCTGAAGAGGAGCCCTCAAGAGATGCAGAGCCACAATATCTCACTGACAGTGAAACAACAACAAGTCATTTCAATACTGATCCAGCCATATTCCAGATGATACATTTAAAGATACTCTCCAATTATCATAGCACTCAAAACATGTTTCTGAAAAGAAATGTTTTCAGAATACATAACTCTTGAACACTGAAAAGAAAACTGAAAAGAAATACTACTTTAGGAAATATACTTCACATTCTTCTAATAAAACTGAATGCACATGACCCTAAAGAGGAAATACTAATTTTTGTATTTTTCATTTTTCATAACATTAAAATTCATGCCTTTATATTTATAGGGTACCTTAGAGTGCAAATAATCACCATTTTATCAGGCCTTGAAGGCACATACTAATGACTTCAGTAATTCTGTATTTCTACACATTAGCAACAAATCAATTTCCAATTTACATGGAGATCAAAACAGCTTCAACCACCAGGCTAATAAGTATTTGCATGGTCCTACAGTTTATGTTTCTTCATGTCCTGCCTGGTGTTATGGTGTCTGAACATCAGTCTGAACTATTATAAATTAACATTAGGAAAAACACCCAGAACCATGCTGCCATCCAGCTACTCTCAATATAAATATTGAAAGAACTCTGATTTTTATCAGTTACTAGTCTGTAGAAATATTTAGGACCTCATCATCTGAATATTCAGAGAACTGGCTCTTGATGTCAGGAAAGCAGTAAGATCATAATGTTGGTGAGGACCTGCCTTTCTTCTTTTTAATATTTTACAAAACAGCACATATACGTTTGCTTAACATAAGCCTTCAAGTCAAGGTAATTTTAATGAACAATGACATCAGGGTTTGACCAGCTATTTTGCTTCTGACCTAAAGACAAATCACTCAAAACACAATGTCATCATTAGGAACTTTAATACCTGAAAAGCTGCTTAAGCCCCATGGGCACGTAGTCACTACCTGCAACTGCAGGGCATAATTACACACAGCAAACCCTCAGCAGCTGAATCATGGCTGTGCTTTGTGCATAAAAATTGGTTCTGGCAGTCCTAGGTAAAGCATTTCAGCACTGATGGAGTGCAGGCACAGAGAGTTTTCTAATATTTAGATTTATTCAATGCTGAAAAAATACCAGTTCCCCAGAATACACATTGCTTCTGATTTGGGGAAAAAACTGCAGTCATGTTGGTACAAACGAAAATCAGCCATGACTGAAAGCTGAACACGGTTCAAAGAGTCCTCCTCCTACTGAGCAAGAAAGACCATTCCCCTGCAGTTATAAAAAGCATTAGCTGATCTGCCTATTCAAGACATACATGTGCTTTTCTTCCTATATTCTGTAACTTTACTTTCTACTTAAAGGAGGGAGAACAGTGAAGAAATCAAAATGTCTCTCTTTTCCTCTGCCATATCAGTGTCTTGCCAGTTCAGACTAGTCACTTTTTACAGCAGAGGCTGTTTTTTGTTGTGCACTTGCACAGCAACCAACACAGCAATCCTGTTTTAACACCTCTGGAATCTCTCTCAGTTGTATCAAATCTGGCTGATAATTAATGTGAGGTTTAACCTATTTTTCCTCCTCAAAACTGAACCTAAATAAGAAAATCAAATGCTCAGCAAGAAACCTAAAGGTTTTAGACTTTTAGGTTCTAGGGTTACAACATGATAATGACAGCTTGAAATATGATGAATATCTGGTATTGATAGAAGAAAATTAGTCACAACAGTTCAGAACACTTGTGGATATGGAAAGAACAGGGGGAAAACAACCAAAAGAAAGGCTTGGAGACCTCAAGCCTATAGGGGACCTTCCCATTACATTTTCACTTCTGAAGCTTTACTGATGCTTTCCACATGGTTACTTCAGTACTGTTTTCATCTCCATGCACCCCTTGTACAGTCTGTTTCCATAGGGCAGAACATAAAACTTCCCAACATGACTGATAGCAGGCCGTAAGAAGATTCTTCCAGTGTTTCACACTCAGCTTTTTTTTCCTTGTACTCCAAGTCATTCCTGGTAAGAACTGTCTTTTTCAAAGAGCACATTTTTGTGATGGGAGGGGAAAGAGGGAAACATGCAAGAGAACATCTCAGAACACTCACAAAGTGTAGTATTAGTTGGATGGAGGGAGGATTCCAACACATTTCAAGGCAAGTCATCTATTCACAATCTAGGAATCATATTCCAAAGCCTTCAATACCCAGATAAAGTGGGGCTCCATGATAGTTTATTACCTATCATCACGCATAAGGTGAGAGCTCAAGAAGGAGCACTTCTTATGCTTAAAGCTGAACAAGCCTTTTAATTCTCAGAGAAGCTGCGAAAGGCTGCTGCCAGAAATGACAACTGCTCCAAGTCACTGAAAAATAAAAAGTGTTTTACTGTGGAACAGTGTATTTTAGTAGGAAGACACAAAAAAACAAGACAAAAACTGACAAAAACTTGACTGCTGTCAGCAACAGGCAAACAAGTTCAGTTTGAAGGAGAAGAGATGGGATGAAGATACAAGTGCACAAAGCTGAAATTAGGCGGAACCTAGAAGACCTGGAGACTGATTTGCCACATGCCATTCACTGGTGGGCTCTGACTTCAGAAGCTGTCAGGGATATGGAATTGCACCAACCCACAAGGTGAACTGCTGACACAGAAGTGTTAAAAGGCAAATTGCCTTGAAAATTGAAAGCAACTTTTTAAGAAAAAATATTTCGGCTCACTTAGCAATATTGCAGTGTACCAAAACATTCAAAGAGATACATGAAATCATTCTATGTTGAAGAATATGCCCACTATTTCCTTGTCTTCTACATGTCAAAGAAAAAGAGATTCATCCAGCCCCAGTGTGAGTCACTACAAAGATGGCAAGAGCTTCCAGATTGGCAATAAACTAAAATGGAAACAGATAAATTGGGTTAATACAGTTTCAGAAGTCAGTGTAGAGAGGAGACAGGTGGGGTATCCAAGAAACAAGGATGGGTGTTCTTGTTCCAGAATAACTGGAAGTCGCAGGACTAGGACAAATTGTTATGGAGGTTTCAACCAACTGATGACACTGATCATGAGTGATTGTGCCCCCTCTGAGGCTTGTGAGACACTTATCACAGTAATGCAGCACATTGAGGGATGGACATTCTGACTGCAAAGACAAAGGATGTGACACTGAAGATGGATGTGCAACTTCACAGGAACATCCACCTCTGACTGACATCCAGGCTTCCTTCTACAGGAACACATGCTCAGAGAACTGTATCATGACTGAGTTCTTCAGCTGACTGACACTGCTGCACATCCAGCACTGGGCAGTGTCAGGAAGAGCCTCAGCAATGACAAAGAACTGCAGTAGCCAAGGAATGCACACAGGAACCACACATGCACTAACGTGCAGCAAGCACACATTCCCACTTACCTGGTGTCTGAAGGATTCACCCCCGGTATTGCCACTGGCTGTAACCTAAATTCCAGAGATTCTTCCTTTTCCTGTCAAGTGGCCCCTAAGTCCTTCTCCGCAGAGAACTGCCTGCCAGACCTCATCAGAAGGCTCTCCCAGATTCTGTTCTGGAGATGGCAGCTGGCATTTTTTCCGGTAAGAGGGCCAGGGGCTGTGCTCACTTGGCACAGTGAAGAGGACCAGGACACTAATTGCTTATCTGGTATATGGCTCTCCTAATCTACCAGGATAATTTCTCAGTGTGATCTGTGAACTGATCACTTTTCCTTAGGCAACAATGATTATACACTCACTGGAACTGAGGCTGAGGCAGCCTTCAAGCATTATGAAAACTGTCTCTCAGCCTGTGATGGACCAGGAGCTGATTTCTTCCTCCAAGCAGGTATCTACAGGAGCATTTTACGAACTACCAACTGGACTAAAAGACCTCTGTGTACTTTAACTACTGATTTTATAAACCTAAGCTAGCAGATCCCTCAGCTAGCACAGCTGAAGCCCAAAAGGCAAAGAGAACTTCTGCTTTTCTTAAAATTACAGTACAAGCAGCAATATTGAAAGCTCCTGACTTTAATCTCCAAGTCCAATAAACCAACTACTGCACTGAAATCCACAGCCCAAAGTCATACCATGTAAAATTATTGTATACTCAGCAATTAACAGCTTCTGCCTTTAAGCATCCTACCCTCTAAGTGCTCTGCCTCACAAACCTGTTGTTTCACCAGTCCTAGCACACACTGGAGAGGCCTCTAATTAGAGTCAGAGACTGAGAAACACCCACCTTCTTTGGTCTTTGTGCTAGCTGCTCCCACATCCCTGTCCAAGGCTGGGGAAGCACCTTGCTCTTGTCCTGTTCCTTCTGTGCTCTTATCCTTTGGTTTGCTCTCTGTTTCAGTCTTCTTTTTGGTAATGTTTATAACACCTGGTGTGAGAGGAGGACGCTGGATGGGTGCTGGTTTAGAGACTGGAGTAGGAGATGGTGGCCTTTGTTTTGACACACCAGGTGAAGGCGGACGAGTCTTTTGCCTGTTGAAATAAAGAGTATTTTCAGGACTAACAATGAAAACCTCAAACACGCATCTGAGGACAGCAGTCTCCTTTGTTTAGTTTACATTACATACCTCACTTTTTAAAACAAATCCAGCCAAAAACTACAGTTGCCTTTCTCATAAAACTTAAATACAGGATTTCAAAATACCCTGAGCACCCGGACTCCTTCCTGGGCTAAACATCAAACCAGGTACGCTAGCCCAGACCTCCGTTTACTCCACATCAAGGATGAACCCTGTGATTCCAATCCAAGAAACTTCCTACACTAATACAGGCAGATCAGCTTATTCAAAAGCTTGCAGGCTTCCCTGCTGGTTTTGGTGCACAGACTGTAGAGAAAACCAGGGTGTATTTTTGTCTGCACAATAGAGACAAAGGTTGAAGTAAGAGCTGCATCTCTACTGTGAGAAACGGAAACTGGACCCAAAATTAAATCCTTTTCTGTACAAACAAGGCACAGTGTAGGTCATTCAAATTCTAACAGCAGAGCTGTCTTGAGACAGGAAGCATCCTTCATTTTGTTCTGAATGAAAGAAGGTATTTAACCTGGACACGTACCGAACTGCAGAAGGTGACGGAGGACGCTTCACCAAATTAGCAGGAGAGGGGGATCTTCTATGGGCAGACACAGATGGTGAGGGAGGGCGCCTTAAACCAGATCCTGGGGATGGCTTTTCTGTCTCTGATTTCTAGAAGATACATAAAAGCAAAATACTGCTGACTCTCTAGAATACTTACAGTCAGAGGAGCTGCTATTCCAACAGACATACAACTTCTCAACAACATGTACTTCACATTTCCTTTATGTTCCAAAACACAGACCTGGTCTGTGTTTGATTTCTACATACATTAAATTTCAAGAATCATAAACAGCAAACAGTATGCCTTTAAGATACAAGAGAGATCAAGGACCATAAAATTCCAATTTGATTTTAATACTGTGTCTTTTTTAAACAAATGCTATTTAACGTTTCAATAATGCTTACTGAAAGCAACAGCAAACCTGATGAAACAGGATCCCATCCTGAGCTGTTCCAACCTCCCCCCCCGCCGATTAACAGAAACCTGGTTGCTGTGACTTTTCAACAAACCTGGGTTGAATCAGGTGAACTTGCATCAGATGAAGACAGAGGGGACTTCAACCTGTCGATGCTACGACTGCGCACGGGCACTTTAGGAGCTGGGGCTGAGGAACTGATGGAACTGGCTGAAGCTGAACGAGGACAGAGGTGAGATTCTATAAAAGTTAGGAATTTGACAAGACAAAACGAGAGCCAAGTGCACAGTATAAGAACAAGAGAAAAGGAAGAGGGAGAAAAAGAGAAAGAAAGATTGTGTGTGTTAGAAACCATACAGGGAAACACTGCAGGCAGTGCACATTGCAATGGATCATGGACACAGACACCATCACCACACAATTAGTACTTTGGAAGCAACAGCACCAAGAATAAAACCATTCTGAAAGCAGCAGTCTGAAGTAGATAAAAATAAAATGCTTTTCCAAAAATTGACTAAATTTGCAGCACTTTAATTTTAGCCAAGCTGCATCTGATCACAAGCGCTTCAGTTTTAATGCCTCAGCATCTTTCCTGACAAGTTCTTCCTGACAGGTTCAGACTTTAAGCATGTTTCCTCCACACTCAAGGAAGAAACAGTCCTTCTTTTCAAAGCGTATTTATAAAGCAGCATTACATCAGGACTCTCAACATTACTATACAAACTTTTCTTATAAAATATGCATCGTGCACCATTATTTTATTCTACTTTCCCTCTCTAACTCCTTTAATACTACATATGTGTGCCCTTTGTTCACACTAACAAATCAAAATCGGTGGTGAAAAAGAAATCTATCAAGAGAAAAAGGTCAATGGCTAAACTAAAATACCTTCCCTATCTGAAGTGTCAATCTCGTCACATATAAGATATTGAAAGAAATTTTATCTTAATTCTTTTTCCACTAACATCATCATAGATAGAAAAGCACACATAGATGCAAAAATCTACTTCTGAAACTAGATATTGGATTTTCTGTAATCCAAATAAATTGTGACAGATGCCGGCACTTAATTTTGTAATTTTAAGGAAAATACATTTTATTTTTATACTTGCAGCATTTGTGCAAGGAAACCTGCATTCTGTTGGTGCACAGGTTGTGCTAAAGCACAGGTACTTTTCTACTGAAATGAAGAAAGTACCTCTAAGTAAACTTATAAAAATGTATCTTTAATTCAGCAATAGTAAGTCACATGCTAAAAGTAAAAGTGAAAAAGATGGTATTTCCCCACATGAGATGAACTGAGATATTCATGGCAAAACAAAAGCAGCACATACATAGGTGTGCAAAAATATGACCATTGATTACACCCCAGAAAAGTAAGAACTGAGGGGAGCAGTGTAGAAATGTCACCATTACCAACAAGGACCAAGTGAAGTGGTGTAAGATAAAAAACAAAGACGGGATAACATACTTAACAGGAAACAAGCAGAACTGGGAACACAAATTGTAAGGTAAAAGAGGAGAAAGGACTCCACATTGGTTCCAGAGATGCATTTACTGGGGCATTATTACAACCAATAACAATTCCAAGACCCGTGGGATGCAGCTACGGCTTGTCCACAATGCAGATTCCTACACTGGTACTAAACTGAGCTCCAGTCTGGGCTTATCAGCTCAGTCTGGACTGATATAAAATTGCTTGAGTTAGCCAGGGTTTCTCTCTTCTCCTTCTAGGATGCCTTGACTTCTACAAACAGCCTGAACGAAGCCAGCTCAGGCTCCCTGTACTTAACATAACCCCATAGTCACGTTCCTACATGAGTTTCTCCCCCTAAAGAAATTTAGGTTTTGCAGTTTGAAATTACAGGTTTGAGTTTTGTGCCTTTAATTTCCTAGTACTGTTCTGACTGGTAAATCTTAGATTCATTTGAGAGTACGAATGCAGATCTCTGTCAGTTAAACCCTCTCCCCCCCAAAAAATAACCCAGAACTAACACCAGAATCTGCTTCTCTGCAGAGCAAGTAAACTGGCACTGGAGTTTAAAATCCAGTATCATTCTATGGTTTTGTAAAGTAAACATGCAACACAGCATGTGAATTGGTTACTACTGACCACAAAAAATACTGGATAAGTAATATTACATATAACCATGTATTAACTGATTCACACTCAAGTGTAGCACAGTTAGCAACTACCATCTAAGTTCTTGCTCGAAGAGCAACTGCACAAAACTTTGAGGCTTTGCTGCCCTCCTGTTACCTGAGGGATCCTGTCCATCAGCCGATAGGGTAGCAGCACTTTTACTCCTAGCTAGGGAGGCCTGTGTGGGGGCGAGGAGGCGACTGATTACGCTACTGTCCAGAGGACTGAGCTGGGAGCGACGAGCTAAATGACAGGAACAAATGAAAAAGGATCCAACATGAAATCATATAATGGAAAAGACAAGCAGTACCAAGCAAAGGAACGCTGAGCATTGTTGCAAATTGTAACAGTTTTGGAAGAACAGCACTGAAGTCATGGAGAGGGAAATCCAAACCAAAAGTACAGAAGGGTTAAACACTGCAATCTCTTATGTTGCACGTCTCATTCTTGGCTTGCTTAATAGTAGTAATTTTAATGTGCAAAAACTAGCACATGTACAACAGAAGTGAATGCTGAATTCAGCCAAAGTATGAGAAGGTTTTGACTGAGCTCTTCAGAGCTACATTCTCTGGATTGCAGGAAAGGCTGTTCTGACACAATGAACAGAAGACTTGCAAGTCAAAGCGAGCAGTTATCATCAGGCATCATCTGCACACACAAATCCACATGGACAGCACCCATCTTTCTCCCATACAGGAAAGGTTCTGAATCAGAGTGTAATTTCCACTGCTGGCAACAGCTGCTAAAAAGGAAAGTTTCAGAACTGTTAACTCAAAGGGAAAACGTGTCAGAGAAGGTGCTAGTCTTCAGCTTTAGGAAGAGTTCCTAAGGAAGAGGTTATTTGTAACCTAGTGGGGAATACACAGACCAAAAGAGATTGAAGTGAGAACAGGTTTCTTCCTTCATTTGCATGCACAAGGTTTAGGTCAGCAGCAGGAACAGAGAAGTTGCTTTTAAACTGAGGAATGAAAGAGAGCTTAGAAAGCAAAGGTAAGATTTGACAAAGAAGTGAACAGATCAGTGACATTTTTACCATTTCTTACATTTGAACCTACCAGCGTTCAAATACATCACTCTCTTAAGTGGAGAGATGTGTTGTTATATGCTTGCAGTGCCATTTAACAAAGGCCTCCTTAGAGGATTTCTTTTTTGTCCAAAGGGCAAAAATTTAACCTTTACCATTTACAATTTTATCTTTAACACTGGGTAACTAAAAAGCCATTAAAAAGTTTCACCAGAAAACCAGTGAAAGTAAGCCTATGTAAACTTTACTATGAATGGCTTTAAAAAAAATATTCAGTTTTATGAAACAACCACCTGGTTTTTCTTCCTTTTTCACTTTTTCTAGTTCTGCAGAGGATTGGGGTTTACTACTCATCCTACTCAAAGATGTGCTCCTCTTCTTTTCTGTTCCTCCTAGAGACCAAGCGTAAGGAAAATTATTTTTAAAAAGATACATAAATATGTGATTTCCTAAATTGCCATCCCATGCTTTGCTTCTGCCAATCAGCTAAAAACACCAATCTATCATTATGAAGCACTGTTTTCTCATGAGCTAAATGATTTGGCTACCACTTGTCTACTCTCCCCCCACCCTTCCACTTTTCAGAGGAATAAGGCTGGTTTACAGAGACAGTTATCCAACATCTGGCACTGCAATGAGCATAACAATATCTGTGCCACAGTGCACAGACCACATGAATGCCTGAATGAAAACAGTCACAATGAAACTGGGACATGGTTTAAAGTCAACTTCAAATATCCCATTTACTGCCTCCCAATTCTCAATACAAACTGGTTTCTAGCACCTTTCTGTTCCCCCTGCGAACCTTTGAGTGCTGACTGCTGGGAATGTAGAGGAACTTTGTTATTCAGTCTGTTTAATGAGGCACTTCTCTTTGTGGTACCTGGAAGTGAAAGTGCATGGATTAATTATGTTGAAAAGCCCAGAGGTCCCCTCCAACACCTGCCCCACTTCCTTAAGATAGAGAAGAATGATTAAGTTACTTTATGATACTGAATTCTTCAGAAGCAGCAAAACTGGATCAGGGAAGAATCACTTTATATAAAGCATTATTTCTTATATTCCAGCATATTACTGATCACAGCAGCAGGATGTCAGTCACAACAGATTCTTGTTTGACCTATTGAGGCCATCCTTATACACCTTTTAAAATAAATGAGAACTTTAAAAGGCCATTTCTCACATTCTCTATGAGTGAGCTCAGAATTAACACAGAACACAGCTGATGAAATACTCCACTGATCCAGGGACAGGCATCTTCCTCTCATTTCTACATTCTTCTCCTCTACCTTCCCAAGCACACACACACACACAACAGAAGCAATCTGGTTAATTCTGAGACTGTATTTTCTGTCCCCTGAATTTACCCATCCTGTTACCAAACAGCCATTTCTCCCTGAGCAACAGATCAAGAGCACAGGATTGCTCTAAGTCAATCTCTACATCCTGACCACATAGATCACTTGGAGTCCTGTCCAAATTTGTTGTATTTCAGGCCACCTAAGAATTTTTCCTCCAAAGTGACCAAGGATTCACAAAGGATTTCAGGGTACGACAGTAAGTTTGAAAGCAATCCCAATTAGTTGATAATTAGTGACTTCCTTTGTTAGTAGCTTAATTTGTACTTTACCAACCTGCTTCTGACTCATACTCAGAGCTGAACCCTCCAGACACATCATATATAAATATAATTTAAAGTCACAAGCAGCCTCCAGTGACTCAGAGCCCCTGCCAGTACAGATATAGTCACTGATTTCCCTACCAGGCACACAGAGTATGAACACAAGTTATAATGCTGCATCACCTTCCAACATGAACCAGTGAAAGCACCTTTAGCTGTGTGTCTGTGTCAGGAATTCTTCTGGCACAGCTTGTTTGATCAAAGGCTGCAGATTAGCAGAACACTGCAGCACAGACCTAGTTGAATCTGGTTTTGTATTAAACAGCTTTTAGCTTTTTCATGTTTTTCATCATTTTGTTAAAAAAAGAAAATCAAATTCAAACCCCCACACATTTGGAATACAGGCAGGCTACTATGAAACTTTGGGAAGATTCCCCACAAGGAAATCTCAGGCTAAAACAAGCTGATATGTGCTCACACGAATGATTTTTATTTATCTTAACAAGTAGATTAGGACAATTTCTCGTGTTTCATAATTATTTTTTTTTTTGATTTCCAGCAGGCTGATTGCCCTCTGCACCAATACATTCTATAAATCATGGTAGAGAGGAGACTCACATGCACAGGTTTAGCAGAATGGAAAAAACCAGAGAACTCTCTCATTCTCTACATGCCTGCTAAGACTAGTTGTGTGATGCACATTTTAAACATGACACGCTGCAGCCAGGAGTTTCATCCACCCCAAAGATGCAATTCAAAGTGAGACTGGAGGCCACAGAAAATGGTAGATGATCCATCTCTAGAGTGCAAACACTTTCAGAAACCGTTAAAAAAAAATAAGAAAACAGAAATGGCCTGGCAGCAACTATTCCCTGGTAGTCACTGGAACAGAAAATAACCCAGAATGCTTGCAAGCAGTGGTGTGCACTAACAGTTTAAGAAATACATAATTTGAGTATCAGTATCAAGATTACACTAAATTATTGGGCTAGGAAGCTGTGTCAGAGCTGCACACTATGGCTACAATCATGATAGAACTCCAGGTCAAAGCAACACCATCTCCTCCCACCCAAAAAGAACTCCCACAGGTGACATTATTTTTCATGCATCCTTCTCTATTTGGTTAAAGCAGAATTCTAATACTAAAAAGAAAGTGTGTCTACACAGTACAGGCACACCAGAACTATGTCAAAACTAAGTTGATTTTTTCCTTTCTACAGGCAATCAAAAGACTGAAGCTGTCTAACAGAACAAGGCAAAGTTTATTTATGTACTATTTCTATTTTGCTGAAATTTTAGGGTGGGAATTAAGGCATGCAAACCTGTAAAGATGATGGGAAGTGATTTGTGAATCAATCATTTACGAAGATTTGACTTTAGTAGCACAATTACAGAAATGAAAAAATAAAAAACCAGCAATTTTTACCGTTACTCTTCTCCTCTAAGAGAGATCACACCAACTGGGTCAAAGCCCTCAACAGTCAAGCTGGATTAACAAATTGCATGAAATGCATTTGAGATCAAAATATGAAGTGAGTCACACGGCAAGGGAGGAGGGAGGACATCATTCCACCTCCTGTCTCCTCCCCAGCCCCAGTTCAGCAGTACCACACACACACACACACTTACTTCGCTCAGAGGCGTTCAGAAGCGCTGCAGACGACGACAACCGTTTGTTGACGGCACCTTCTGCCTGTTTGAGGTTGGCTGTGGACGTGGAGCGTTTGCTGCCTGTGGAGAGAAGTGCTGACTTTAGAACTCACCTTCATACCTGAGGGAGAACCTTTCACACACTGCTGAGAGCTCACTCTGGAAGCATTGCATCCTGAAAGCTATTTTCACTTCTGCTCAATGAGAAACAGAAATGATTTTGCTTTCCTTTGAACAGAGTTGATACCATTAGCAACAGTTGGAACATGCACAGAAAAGGCAGAGTTTAGTGGAGTCATGCCAAGATTTCATGCACATGTATGCAAACAAGGGATTTTTAAACCCTGTGCTCCTAATGTGTAAAGACAAAAGCTACTGAGGCTGTGTGTCGTTACTAGACTGGTAAGAAACAGAGAATAACAATAAAACCTGAAATGCAATAATTTCTTTCTTCATTCTTTCCACAGAGGTATGTCAAAACAGTTTTTCAATCGCTAGTTAATAAACCAAACCAAACCAAACCAAATTATTTTGGAGGGATAAAATCAAGTCCTAAGGAAAGGCAAGAAAACATTCCTGATTACTTCCCAAGGGTTTCTGTAAGTATTTTAGAAATTTCCAATTTTTCTCTAAAAGCTATTCCTTAAGTTCATGTTTCCCATCTATTTTGCAACTCTTCTGAAAATGCCACAAGAAGCATTCTTTTCTGTATGTGTATATGCACAGACAGATATTTACACATAAATCACATCTCGCATGGCAGAATTGCAAGTTTATTACAAGTCAGATAAATAACGGCTTTTTAATTTCAAATAATGTGCTTTCAGGATGAACACTATTCCAGAGTATAAAAGCCTTGGAAAAGCACGTACCTGTTGCTATAGAAACTCACTAAGCAGAAAACATTAATGCACACAAAGTAGTGCAGATGAGGTTAACAAACACACAGAATTGTATACATCAAACACAAATAATCGATTTCACTGTCATATTGGACAGCAAAGATGATTAATCTGAACTCATTAGTGCAGAAGTACCAAAGGATAAAGCAGCACTACTCACCATCTTTTCCCTTTGCCAGCAAGCTACAACAGCCCCTTACAGCCAGAGCCAGCACATAAGGATTGCTATAGACAGCCCTGTGGGAAGCTCTTGGGACAGTGAACAAGAGCAAAGTCTACACAGGATAAGAGGGAGAAAGGGAAATCTACTGAATCTAGTTAAGAAATGAAGAGCTGAGCTTAGTGGATATTTTCCCCAACATAACAAGAAGAAAAAAAAAAAGGGTAGTTTATGAATGAAGCCTGAGAGCTGGGATAACTAAACAGCCTTAAGAGGTTTTATATACGAAAATCAGGAAACACATAATTCACGTATTTGGGCAATTTGGAAGGTAAAGGTTTCCCCCTAGTGTCTGCTCTTAAAAGGAAATCCAGCCTCCTGCTTGAACTCAAGAGAGTCCAAGGCCTGCAAACATCATGGACACTTCACACAAATTTCCCTTGGTTCAAACTAGGACTTCAGGACTTGCGTGACATCTGAGATTTGGTCTATCACCCACTGAGACCCAGATAGCAAAAAGGAAACTTTGCCTTAAGAAAAATTATATTGAACAAAGTTAATTCTTTTCCACCAAGGTTGCAAGTTCTGGAGGCAGGCTGTGCTGTTTTATAAGATATAAGAGGCGATACTTCTACTAGAGAACTCAGAAGAAGAAAGTACTGGCTAAATATGACTGTTCGGACAAGGAAAAAAATCAGTCTCTATATTTTAGGGGAACAGAGGGGAGTGGTGAGAGCATGAGCTACTATCTCAACTGATGCCTTGACAGAAAGAAATCTAATTGGTAAAGGGTGCTCATACAGATATTTGAGTTTTCTTTTTCCAGAAAATCTGAGTTTGCATTAATTGCTTAAGATATTACGAGGTCAGTGCTTTTTCGATCAATACATCTGCAAATATATGATCAGACAGCCTCAACTTTTTCCCTACCTCACCCACAGGACAGCTCCTACAGACTTTAAAGATTTGGATGATTCACTAGAAAAAAAACTTTAGAACACAGACAGGATATTCTCAAGTCAGTCAGTCTGGTTATGTAGCTATTTACAAAATAACTTTTGAAAAAGTATCTCAAATATCTTTCTTTGGGGAAAGTCAGAAAACTTCCCTCATGGGATTTGAAATGGAAGAAGCAAACAACACTCAGCTCACATGATACCAGACTTCTGTATTTTCCTAATGGAAGAGGGAAAGTGCAGCAGCAGAGCCAAAGAAAGCACAGGGCTGCCATGCAGGAAGGCCTGAAACTGGGTAAGGAGCTTGGACACATGGTATCTTAATAAAATCACGATGAGAGTGAGCAGCTTTCAATCCTGGCTTCTCACAGGGTTTCACTGAGAGAGGGAGCTGCAGCACAGCCTATCTGAGCTTGGATGAAATTAGGCTACATAAAATAAGATTAGCTGTCTCTCACTTCCCTCCAAATTTCTACTAGGACGAGGAAGCTCTTTATTTAGAAAGGAGAGGCTCTGGCAGCCCCATTTCTATTCTAATAGCAGGTCTCCACTCCTGAAGCACCTGAATGTCCAGTTCTCCTCAGCAGTCACCACTAAACTGCCTCATTTACCAGGGCTCTGTCATCAAGGATGCTTTATTACACAGCCTGGCCACTTCTCTTGGCAGACCCACACCCTGCCTGTTTCATCTGAGCACTGACAGCAATGTCATCAATGTAACATTTGACTCTGGGGCTTTCATCAATTTTTAAATTTCAGGCCATCAGTAGGATCCTTGCTGTGGTCTCAGTGAATCACACTCTGTACATCCTATGGAATGATGCCTGGGGAAATGTTCAAATTACATGGGTTTCACTTTTCAGAGCACTCTGTATGACCCAAAAGCTCTGCTCTACCAGTCAATATTCCTAAATATTACTGTTGACACGGTCAGTTCATGGAAGACATGTCTGATTCTGGTTTTTTTTGTTTTTTGTTTTTTTTTTTTTGCATAGCAATACAACACACAAGAAAGCCTTTTGTCCTAAAATGAATATTTGAAATCTGCTCCCCCAATGGCTCTCATTTCAAGAAATGGGGCTTTAATCTCAAATCTGCCACAGAAACTGATGTAGAAAAATACTATTGTATTGAAATTTGCTCTATACATGCTACTAAAGACAGTGCACTTCTTGGCCCCAATGATGTAATGCAGCAGAGTTTATATGGTGTCATTTTTCAGAGTAAAACAAAAGGTAATTGTCTTTCCTGCAATTACGTAAATATAAGGTGAAATGGACCAAATAAGGATTTTTTTAGTAAGTCAGCTGGACTTAAGTATCCTACATGGCTTGGGTAGATTTTTCATAATAATTACCTGATGGGCTCTCAGAAAGTTAAACAGAATTACCCTGAAACAGGAATAAATATGAGAAGTGTAAAACCAACCAGGGTTCCACATTATCCACCTCATGTATGAGGACTGCATGCTTGAAACAGTAACATAAAATGAAACACAAATTTAAAACAGTGTGGAAGCACAAGGGTTTGACTAAGACACTGCATTATCTGTTTATCTCCATAGCAATTTTTTTTCCAAATTGGTGCCAAGTTATCCAAATTGATCTATTGTAGCTGAACAATCTGCTCCTCCTCTTGCTACATTATGATGCATAAGTCCCAGCTTAAGCACCTATTATTATATCAGGAGTGTTAGTGTTTGAAGACATTTTATCTTAAATGTGCTTCAGCAGCACTGAAGATCTTCCCTCACAATAAAAAGGACAGACAAAGCTCATTTCCTCACATCAATTAGGAGAGAGCAAAGAACGTTATTTTATGTTTTTTACTAAGTTTAGATTTAAAATAAGGTAGGAAAAACCAGTGATTTCTTAAACATGTAAGGCAAATGTGATTTCCCAGTTTCAAGGTTAAATGATAAATGGTAACGTGGGATACAGCAACTGGATCTAAATACGTATCCAAGGAACACATGTAAAACAGGTAAGCCAATCCAGCCAAACTGGCTAATTTTGGAGAAAATTAGGGATTTGTGCTGTGCAGAATAAGAGAAGAGAGAAGTTAGATAAAATAGACATGCTTCTACTGTGTTGCCAGAATAAGCCAGAGTAGTTAAATCATACTCAGTCAGACTTTCATTGCATTTTGGAGTCTCACTTGTCTCTGTTACAGAACAGCTGCATTGCATTAGTAATGCTGTGGGCATGCACAGACTGTCAGGACTCAGATTCAGCTGGGTCTCAGCTGAGAGTTATCATCATCTCCAATCAACTACAAGAAATAATTTTGCTTATTAAACATATAGCCTTGACAAATATATCAGTGATTCAAAGCATTTCTATGAATGGCTCAGTCTGTGCTCTGGAAAGTGCCAGAAATCCAATGAAAACACATTTAATGTATACAATTATCTTTAGATAATTGGACAGATCTGATTTTGCAAAACCCTTCATGGAAAAAGTATCAAACTGCACAAAGGATTCATTCCCTTTCAGCAAAATACCATTTGATTTTGCAAATGTTACTTCAATTGCTGGTAAAACAAAGCAAGAAAACAAACCAAGCCCTACCATGTACTTTTTGCAAATTAGGCAGCAATGAAAGGATTTGAAATTGCCTTTTAAAAACCCAGACTACTGAACTAATTTTTATTCAAATACTTGCCCCTACGAATTTCTCTTCTCCTACCCATGCTGTATTCAGTCATCTTTAAAAACCCAAATGCACACATCCTGTCCCTGAAAATTCCCTCAGAATGCCATGACTTAAGCTGTAGTTGAATTAGCTGGGAGGGATAGTTAAAGCAAGGAGGGCTGCCTTCTACTTAGGGATCACATTTGTTGCACAGCTGGCCAAGATCCAGGAAAAGATCTACAAGAAGCTGGTTTTCCTTAGTTTCAGAGAAAGAAGAACTCAAGTTTAAAAGGTTAGTAGTAAGTGTAAAACAACAGAAAAAGAACATTTTAGAAATCAATACCACCAGTTCCACCTTCATCTGTGCTCTGTTGTTCTGTAGAAGAAGAAGGTTTGTAAACTAAGTCACGAGGTCAAATAGTAAAAAATGCAAGTTAATTGAAAAATAACAATAACATGTCAAAGCACTTTCAAACGTTATAAACACACACTCAAGCTGACAGATGACAGTAGTAAAACAAACTCAGTACAGTTCCATCAATACAGAAGATACGCTGCATTGAAGCACTTCTTTTATTTTATTCCTTGACAATAACTTAAGTTACTGGTCTTCCAGACAGGTAGCGAATGAAAAGATCTCTTCCAATGCAATCCTGATTTGCTAGTCTGATTTTAGAATGTTTACAAGCAGAAATAGTTAATTGTGTGAAACAGGAAATGATCTGAGCTCAGACTGAAGAGTGCTAAAACACATCACCTAATCCAGAATAGAACCCATGCTCTGAGAAGCTTGGGCAGTGCCCACTGAACCTCATCACCCATGACTGGGCATTCAAGTAATCAGTAAGCATGCTGTAGCTCTAAGGGTGTGTTTAAAACATGTTAGATGTGATATTACAATACAACTGGGTATTTTTGTTTGTTTGTTTTTATCACCAGTCTTAATACTCCATTACATGTACTCCATTTGAAGGACTCAGAATTATTTTAACATTATACATTACAATTCCCCCTATCTGAGGGCTGGGGGCTGGCAATACAATTCTGTCAGGTCTTGTATTTCCCAAGGGGCTTCTCTCTAGCTCTTCTCAAGGTCAAAAACAGTTCTAAGTCTGAGCAGCATTTCAGGGCAAGCACAGATATGATTCTTTCCCCATTAGCTACCCGTAGATCCTGCTTTAATATCCAAGACAGTAAAGGATGCCCAGATCCCTACAAATAGTCCTGCATTTGCCAGTGTTCACATATAATATTCTGCGATTTTAAGCCTACTAGAAAATGTGCTGCTTACCTGTTTTGCTTTCTGAATCTGGAGTTACAGATCCTCCCCATGACCATCTCTTCTGCCGCGTTTCCAGCCGCTGATTCCGCTCCAAGGTACGATGCATAACTGCTTCGTATCTCTCCTATCAAACAACATCTCCATGAAGCTGTAACCATGAAGCACAGCTACACCAGAGAACAACATACAGACCCACCTCCCCCCTGTGATTTATAATGTTTTACCTAGGCTGCCTGATTAACAAGCTTTTGTTAAAGAAACTATCATGTAAAGAATGTTGAGGGCAATTAATGGCTTCAAAACACTGCAAACATGATTAGGTTGAGCTAAACCACAGATAATCTATTCTACTCTTTACTTAAAATAGCCACCAAACAGATTTCCTATTCAGTAAACAGCACTACTTATTTTCTAAATAGGGATGAACCCCAAACTGAACAAGAGTAATTGCTTACCCCTTAAACTATTTATATTCTGAAGTTATTTCTAAAAGGTGATAAGAATTTTCATTATAGAATAACAAATAGAAGTTATTTGTATTCTCAAAGAACTATACAAACACTGACCCAAGTCTTAACAGACATTAGGAGACATATGATGAAATTACAAACAGCAAGACAAAGGCAAAACTGCAAAAAAAAGACTGATTAACTCCAGAATCAACTCAGCAACCACTGCTGACAGGACAAAGGGGGCTGAAAGAAGCTTTTGCTCCTGTCTCACAACGAGTAACTGCTAACAGAGGAGCTTCGGCTCTTGTGCATAAGGATGAACTGTAAAACTGTTTCTTGCCAGCCAGGTTTCCACACGTGTCAACAACAGATTTCTCTTCTGAAATAGTTATATCCCAAGTGATCTTTTGAAGCAGTATTTACTGCTGATACACTGCAGTGAGATGCCAAGGGAACTCATTATCCAGCCACTTCTCGCTCTTGAAGACAAAACTTTCACCTTCTTTCTACACCATTTCACAACACAAACTAAAACAGTCACAGTGACAAACAGACCATGTAAACTTGGAAGGAAAGGAGGAGGATTCTGCTCCCTGACAAAAGAGAAAACTAGAAGTTTTTGTTTGAAATACAAAGTTTTGCTTCCCCTCTATTAGAGAAACCTGAACTAGAGTGCTAAAGGTGCCAAAGTACCCAGACATTATGTAACCTGTATTGTATTTCCAAGGAGGTACCTGCAGCGTGGTAATTCTTCAGTCACAGTTAAAGACAGAGGCTTCACCTTACTAACAGAAACAAATTCAAGACATCAATACAGTATGCACAGATGTACAGAATAACTGAGTAGCTGTGACAAGACAGGTATCTCAATCCTAGACATGGCTAGTGGTCTTCAAGACTTAGGCAGAGAACCACTTCTTCCACAGTATTTGCTATTGTGCTGCTGCTTCTACTCTTAAGAAAGATGATTAACTAAATGAGACTTGGCTGAATGTAAACAATAATGCTGAAGGCTATGCATTTTTTAGATACTCCTATCTACTAAATTTACAATTGTAGATGGTATCTTGCTGGCAAAATTGATCTAAGATAGCTTAGCTTCTTTAAAAGTGATTTCTTTCTGCAAAGTAAAGATCTGTTTTCACTTTCTGGTTGAAGGCACGGTTTACAGGTCAAATCCACACTGTTTTCTCACCTGCCAGATTCTTCATGCATAAATCCCTATGTAAAAGGTCATCTTCAGGGACTTAGTAAAAGACAAGGTTAACAACAATCAAACTCATCAGCTAATCTTGCCTTCCTTGATTATTCACCCAGATGGCCACTTAAAAATATATCCACCATCCTCAAGATTACATGAATAAATGTAATAAATGTAAAGGTGACACCTCTTAAAGTAGAAGGGATGCTTTTTGCATAAAGTAGTTGCTTAAAGAGATGATGCAGCACTGGACTGCAGTCACAGCCCACCCAAACATTTCTGTTCTCCAGCAATGTAAACTATTCCATGAAGTTCAAATGGAATATCAATCTGATCACACCCAGGAGCTGATTACAGAAAACCAAATACCATTGTACTGCAAGTCAAAAAGGGTAAAGATGGATTGCTAGAACAATGTAACAACAGCTGGACTCCAAGGGAGCAGCCAGCCAGGCTTAGGGGCTCTTCCCCAGTGACCCACAGCAAGTTCTTACACCCAGCTTACAAAAGCGTGGATGTGTGATGCCTCCACTGCTGACACCCTGGAAACAAACCCTCCCAGAACTCACACCACATTTCATATGCACTAGCAGAGCTACTCATCAAAATGGATGGAATAACTTCATCTATTTATTCCTGCTTTCAGCTTCTGTCCATTTGCGATGAGCCCCAGAAATCAAATACTGCTTTGCTGGTCCGTGTGCAGTCAGAGCAAAGGCAAAGGGCCCAGTGACAACAGTTCAAAGCAGTTGTAGTTCACTACACAGTTCAAAGCAGCAAATGGTAACTACACAGATAACATCATCAACTGCTCATCATATAGTAATGAGCTCTAATTTAGAAGAACTGAAAGAATGGGAGACTCTCAGGCCACACCAGGGCTCCCAGGAAGGAAGACACAGAAATAAGAGAAGTCTAAGACCTGTCACCCACACTGATTAACAAACAGACTCTACAAAGTGCACTGAAGGAATGTAGAAATCTGGGAATATAAGGTAGGGTTTTTGGTTGTGTGAAAAATAACCAGTGGCCAAAGAGCAGCCACAGCTCCTGAAGTCCCAGCTGCTTTGAGTACAGCTAAAGCTGTATGGGGAAGGAGGGCATACGTGTACACAGCCCATCATAGTGATGTGGAAAATACTTTCATGTTCTGATACATTCACCACTTCCACAGTTTTCGATTTCCCACCACTTCAGACCATGATAATGTAAGAAAATAATGGAGTTTCTTAAAAAGTATAGAACTTTGACATGTTGTACCTTTTCCTCCTCTATTTTTTGTTTCCTCTTTTCTTCTACTGCTGCCCTCCGTTGTTCCTCTTTCTGCTTCATTTCTTTTAGCTTTCTCTGCCTTTCTTCTAACTGTTTTTCATACTGGAGTTTTGCTTTTCTCTCCTTTTCAAGGATCTGTGTCTCTTTGGCAGCTGTAAATTTTTAAGAAAAAATGAAAATCAAATTTAACCATTCACTGATGCTGCAATGCAAGTTATAGGCCAAAGACTACCCAGGCAGAATTATTACCACTTAAAATGAAAACATACAGCAAGATGAGCTTGCAGAGCTGGATGACAATGCACAATGACATTCTGTCCCCAGGTTAGGGTGGAATCAGAACCTTGCCTTACACTAGACCTTACTGTCTAGACAGGACTATCAGGATAGGCATATCCCCTATGTTAAGCACATACTTTTCTTGTCAACATAATAGTGCAGTCTTTGCAAGAAAGTAGTAAGTAAGAATCAATAGCCTGAATTTTCTGTGTTGCAATTTTCCTTTTTTTTTTAAGAACAAAATATAATGAAAAGAGTTAAAGCACTGAGTGACAAGATGGGAAAACCCCAAGTTCCTGCATCTGAATTCAAAATAGTTCTCTCGCTGTTCTCTGCAGCCTCCACCAAGGAACAGCTGTGTGCAGTTTAACAGGAAGCTCCAGGTTCTGTGACACAAAGCTAGTGGCTGAATGCAAAGTGTATTTTCCATGGCTAGACAGATGAAATGAACCAAGAGACCAGATAATTACACCAACAATGCACAGGCAGTATCTACATAGAGAGCCCCCAAAATATTTCTGGATTGATATGTGTTTTAGTCCCACCCTCTCCCCATGTTAGGATAACACAATCACTCCTGTTATTTTTATGTTAACAAACAAACACACAGGTCTGAGAGACACCACTCCCCTCAAGCTGGGAGCTCAAGACCCAGGACTGCAGGGCTCACTGTGACCCTTTCATCTCTGACTGCACACACATGCACTGATCAACATTGCAAGCAGCATAAAGCTGGGCAAGACTTTTCTGCTGTTCTCTAGGTCTCAGATTCCCTGCTAAGACAAAGTGTATACTGCTGATACTCCAATCCAGGAGTCATTTCAGTGTGCTGGGAAACAAGGGAACCAGTGTTCAAGGCAAACAAGCCATTCAACTAACTAAATCCTTTTTCATTTTCTCTGAATTGGCATTACCTAAACCTCAGTCTTCAGGGCTACAGGAAGCAGTTTTAAGCTAAAATTTTTATTTTCAAAAGTGTTTTTGTTGAGGATTTCAGTAAGAAATTGGCTAAATTTTCTTGGTGGTCACTAAGAAACAGAAGGTCAAAAGTGATACAGAGCTTCAAGAAGCTAAAACTCTCTGCAGCATTTTCCTCTCAAATCAAATACTTTTTCATTCAGGTTCACAGATGGTCACTGATGCAAGACCAAAAGTAGACCTTGTTTCTTGTCCCCAGCAAGCTGGAAAAAAGTGACTGAACGAGGAATAAGTTATTCCTTTATCACAAACATTTCAGAAAACTGTATTTTAAATGAAACATGAAAATACCATGTTGCTTTTCCCGCTCTTCTCTACGCTCCCTGGCCAGTCTTTGCCTTTCTTCTGTTCTTAGAGTGGAGCCATCTATCACTGTCAAAACAAAAATTGAAGACACACAATTGTTAGTTATTTTGAACATTCAAATTTAAATAAAAAGTCAAAAGTCTTTACTATCAAAAGGAGAATGAAACTTCCTGAGAGATGCATGTACCAGCAAATCACTGCACACTTCATATAGAGATTCAAGTTGTCATCTGAAAAATTCATAGGAAGCTAAACACCCTCCCTTTTCCATTCTCTCACAACAACCAACCCACTGTTTTTAATAAGTGCAGGAGAAAGCAGACACCATATCAAAGGCTAAATGTGTACAGTCAAAGGAAAGACTAAGCAGTAGCCAGATATATGTGAGAACATATCCTTATTCCAAATCCAGCTCTGATCCTCACTCTTGTACATACTAAATTCCATGAACAAGAATTACAGGAATCTAGGAAAATTTAACCTCAGAACAAATTGTTCACCTGTCACAACCAATTCAGAGCACTGCAGGACAGCTCATTTCCAGGCTAAGCAGAACCAAGACTGCTTAGATCTTTTCAGGTATAAAAACTTGAATTTCAGCAACAAGTGAACTGGTAGGTGTTGCCCAGTGCACAAAACAGTAACTAATTTTGCTGTTATGCTCTGTCTACAAGACAGGCACCTTCAACTGAACTCTGAGCCAGTCAAGAGCAGAAATCTGCCATGAAAACCAGACCTTTAATGAATCTACCAACCATCTACCAGGTGGCTCTGGCCTCTGATGCCTCCTGAAGAGCACCAAACTCCTTTCTAAAATATGTTCTCTTTGTTGCCTACTAACTCTCCCTTGTGAACCCAGCACTTCATGAAGGGCAATGACCAATAATTGTACCTGGTTTAGTTGCTGTCTTTATTGAGGTCTGGACTGCAAGAGGGCTAATGCCACTTTGGCTTCTTCTTTCTTCTGCTATGGCTTGGGCTGCAGCAACTGTGAGAAAAAGTAATTCCATATTAAGAAAAGCTCCACAACTGAAACTCAATAAGTAAATATCTAAAATACATAAAATTCCATTTGAGGTTGCTGATCTTTTTATTAAATAACTAACTGTGGGCTGCTTAACTTGTAAGGAAAAACTTGTCAAGTGAAACCTCAGATCTGGCACAGCTTTTCTTTTTAAAAACCACAGTTACAAAACCTATGTTTTCAAATGTGCAGCCAAGGACTACAGTTTCAAAAAGATCAAACTTATTATATAACTCTTCTAAGACAAATCCAAGTATTTAGCACAGTTACAAGTCTGACTTACACTTACTAATAAATACTCTTTGCTACCACATGTGCATTTTTGGGCTGGATATACTTATGTAATAGTCCATTAGCACTGGCAGAATCATATTCTGATGAGACCTGGCAGGGAAAGGTTTATGAAGACCTGTCATTACTTGATCACATGAAACAGAAAGTGGATAAGCTGCATAAAGTGAACCATTACAGGATGCTTACACTGTACTTCTAAAACTGGATCTTCAAAAATAAATTTTAATTGTAAATTAGACTCCAATACTGTAATTTGAGCATTCATTCACCTTATTCAGGTTTCAGCAAGGTGAGCACAGTAGCTATGACTCGCAGTTAGTAATACAGAAAGGAAATGCTACCAATATTAATGTTGCTAAAATAATGAAACCCATTAAGAAGTCAGAGAGACTAATTTACTGTATCACTTTCCACAGATTTTCTTTATTTTAGTGTCAACTTTCACTAATCATCTTGCAGGGTGTGAAGTGGTATAGGGAGAGCAGGCAGGGCAACCCGTAAGGCAGCATTACCCCACTTTCCTGCACAGCTCAAATGGGAATGTTCTCACACAGTGACACCTTGTTCTCACCTTGGCTGACAGATACTGGGAGCTCAACTTTGCTCCTAAGAGGAGCCCAACTTCAGGGGACGCAAGAGAACACATCACACAACCAACCAACCAGAGAAAGACAAGGCCTGTTTTACACAGAAAAGGCAATCCACAAAAGGAACGTGTAACTCCTGTGAACATGAAGGACCAACAGCAGAATCTGGCATTATATTTTAAAAAAGAAGACAACAGCTTTGCCAATGATCTCAGACTTCCCTTTAATATGAGTAGTGCAGAATGCAAAGGAGGAAGGAAGAGTCTCCCTCTTCTCCATGCATTGCCATGACAACTAGTTGTGTCATGGTAATAACCCTCCCTAAGGCTGTGCCCAAGAACAATCACCTCAAAGTGTTTAATCCCATGTGATGTCAGTGATAAATGCTGATTACAATACTTATTCAGCAACTCTAAATTGTCACCCGCAGCTGTTGCCATGTCTTGAATTAATTTTTCACTACAGCAGCAAACAAAAGTCTTCCTCAGTTCCATCCTATACATCTCTGAGGCTCTTTTCAAACTCAGAGACCAGATATATCATGACATGGTGAGATTACCCATGGGCAGAGAGAACAGCTAAAAAAGGGACTCACTGTAATTTCACCATCTAGATTAGAAGTCAGATAAAAATCTGATTTTTGTACACTTTTGCACGCCACATGGATGGGAATCTAGTCCAAAAAATACCAGGTGGAGAACAACAAAGTTATCTATTCTAACACAATTAAAAGTGAAAACAGCCAGAGGAAAAGCAGCCCACTGCAGGTGTGCTGAGAACAGAAATATACACACAGGGCATTAGTATCCAGGCACCCCTGGACATCACAAAGGCTGAAGGAGCATAAGGTTCCTCAAATACCATTTAGATTTCAGACACAGAAATCCAGGTACATCTTCCTTCAGTCTCCACCAGCAAGGGAGGAGACAGGAGGTGCCCAGGCAGCCTGAGCCAACTCAGCCCAGCTGGGAAAAGAGCCCAACAGAAGAAACTCACTCCTCTCCTACACACCAGGTTTAGTTAAGACCACTACTGGAATTTTGCCTCAACTCTCAAAGTTTAAACATCTGAACATCTGTAACAAAGTTGTAGTAAGAAGCAAGCTGCAATTAAACAGGTACAACAGTCATCTTATTTTATTTGCAGAAATATTTTACTATTAGAAATCCTACTGAACAAACCAGTCATAATGGATGTGGGAGATTGTTTATTTTCAAATGAATACATAAATACATAAACAGTTGAATAATGTTCATGATTAGAAGGCATTCATTTAAAAAGATTTAAAAATCTGCAAAGCAATTAGTTCATCTTAATTAATTAAGGTTGCAAAAGATTAGTTGAGGTTCTACAGAACAGGAAAGTGGGTTACAGAAACAGTTCAGCTTGCAAAGGACACAGAGGTGAAAAAAGCCTAGAAATAGTCAGGCAAAGGATTTTGTATGTCAGGGGTTTTATATGGCAGTTAAAATATTTTGTGTTTGCTGCTTCAATGCTTCATTACTTGCATAGAAACAATGTCTTCACAAATTTGAAAGCAGCACATTTAGGGCACCATGAGTGCACCTTCGTGTCACACAGATGTGATCCATTCATCCAACAGAAATCCAGAACGAAATGTGAACTGGGGATTGGAACAAAAGATCATTAAAAGGGAAACAGCCATCACATTAGATATGTCCCTGAGATGTGCAAGCTCAGTTTCACTAAATCTCTGGTCAACAGACAGGTTTTATGTTCCTTGTAAATTTTATGGTAAACTTGCAATATCAAACTGATTTTCAAAATCCCCTTTTTACTACTTACTCTAGGAGAAAATGAGTTGCATATTGTTGCACCCTGCAACCTTTAAAAAAATACAAATTTATTTTGCTTTAATATGATAAAAGAAATCTAAATTATTAATAACTTTAAACGTTCTTTGGCACAGATACCTATAATGTCTGTGCCTATTTTTCCATAATGAATGTAGCAGTCTGCTATGGAGCAAAGCTTCGTGGAAAAGAATTTTCCACAAGACCTATCTCTGTAAAAGAAGCCTAATACTTCTGTAATGAATCAGGATACCCCAGAACAGGAAACCAGTTAACAACCATTTCACTAGAACTTGTGTCACATGCTGCATTAGTGGGGGGTGCCTTCATGGACATATTCAGCAAACTTCCTGGAGAAGAAAAATTCTCTTACAGGCAAATTAAATCTCATTTCTATTCTGAGCTTCCCCTCCCACAGTAGTCACCAAAGGCTTTCACAACTATAATTTGTGATCAGTATAATGTATGTGTTTATTTTACAGTAGTCTACCTTTAAATGCTCCAGGTAAAATTAATAAAAGTATAAGCCACACATGTGGCCAATAATAATAATATCTGCATTCAGGCATAATAAAGTAGGCCTATTTGGAACATGAAATGGTTAGGGGATTTGGGAAGCAGTTTTCCTTCTGTGCCCTCATCACCATTTAGCACCATGTGTCTGGCCAAGGGTATCACAGATAAACCAAACCCACAGAAGCACCAGGAACCAGCCACTGTGGAAGACAACATTCCAGATACATCCAACTCTCCCAGTTTCACCTCCAGCTCAGGATCACAGAGTCTGTGCAGGTGCTGTGGTGCCTCCCTCGCACTGAGCACGACGGGACTTCCTTCGCTGATCAGGTTTCCAATATGCCCTGAGAAGACCAGTGCTAAAAATAAACTCTGATTTCTATTTCAACCCTTGCACAGAGCTAATACCCTTGGCCCCTGCCAAGACTGGCAAAGGACCCACTGCTGTTCTTAGCAAACCTCATTAGGGACTGGAGCTGCTCCGTCCCTTTGCCCAGCGAGGTTTAGGGATTCCATCCCATCGCCTCTCCTGGTATCCATGACCCAGCCAGATGCTGCCCCACTTGCTTTCCCAACCCGTGCAGAACCAGAAAGGAGAGCAGAATATGCCAACTTTCAAAGCAATCCTTCTGCTTCTTATGATTTAATGACAAAGCAAACAAACAAAAAAAATCCCAGACTAAGCCTTTGAAACAGGAGGTGTTAGAAGATGTCCTGAATGGAAGGCACTGTTGGAAATCTAAATTTTCTGCAAAAGTTTAAAGCAGGTAGCAAGAAGCCAAAACTCAATCCATGAACCAAAAGTGAATGGCCCAGCAAAATATCTCTAATTTTATAGCAAACTGTGCCAACTCTGCAAGATGCCATTTTTGTCTTGCTCCACTACAGGGAGTTACTGTTTGTCAGCAAGGGTTCTGATCCTTTTCCTTTTAATAACAGTTGCACATGCTTCCAGGAAAGACAAGGGAAGTTAGCATTTAAGTTTGAGATTTATGCACACTGCCTTTTAAGCTGATTTCCACTCATTAATTAATACAGGTTAAGACAAATGGATGCAAGATCATATGCTTGATGCTTTAAGAAAAACTGGATATTGGTTTTACACCATTACCTCACACAAACAGGTGGACAACACAGAAAGTTGAACCGTGAAAAGAAAGCCCTCTCTGCATGCACTCCTCTTTTCCCTGCTTTCCCCCTTCTTTCTGTCTTTCCCTGCTGATTCTCACATCCCATCTTTGGGCTGCAAGGACTGACAGGCTCCACAACCAAACACGTGAGCCTCCCGTAGGCACCTTCTGATGGACCAGCTGGAAGGCAGATGGTTCTCCTGTTTTGTCTGGGCAGTCACCAGATGGAAAGCACACAGATCTCCAGAAAGCAGTGCATGCTGCCTCTCAGCTTCAGCAGGCCAGAAGAGCTTCCTATTGTCTTATCCTTATCCCAGACTGTATTTGCACTCTTGGTTCTACATTCATTCCCTATGTGGGATACCTATTTTATTACTTTTGTGTGTTTTCCTCCCTTTAAGACCATTTCTGCAGGTAATTCTGTACAACAATCTGGTTGTACAATCTGGTTTTCCTCCCAGTCAATGCTTAAGGAAGTTTAAGATGATTTCTTCAGTTCACTACAAGTATTCATCCCACTGGAAAACTCTTAACACAAACATTCCTTTGCAGTATGTGAAATTAGCATCTCCCCGAGTAAGTATTTGAGAATATATTTCAAGAATGTACGTTTTTATTTATCC